GAAATTCTACTGCCAGTGCATAATCCAGGGGTGGCCAAAGTGGGGCTCATGAGCCTGATACGGCTCTCACAGGCAATTTGTGCGGCTCGTGCATTTAAAATATATGTATGAAATATGGTAAACTAAAACTATTCAGTGTCCAAAAAGAAGTAATTAATTTAGACTCTTTTTACAAAGTTATCAGAGATTTCTTTCTATTTAGAACCTCTTCTTTTACTTCTATAATGATGTAAATATGAACTTGTGACTTTTAGAAAATCTAGATGCGGCTTTTGAACATTCCTGAATTCAAACGTGCGTCTCTTACTGACATGAAGTTTGGCCAACCCTGGCATAATCTATAAAGCATCAACTCAGGAAAAAATAAAATAAATAATAAATAAAAATAAAAAAGAAAGGAAAAAAGATTCCTTTAACCCTTTGTGACACACATATTTAAAATATATTTTAATCTTTAAAAAAATGCCTTAGAATTAAAGATTAGTCAGATGGACTTAATTAAGTGCTTTTAAGGCACTTAATTTTGAAAAAAAATTCTGTGCTTTTATTTTTTATGGGGGAAGGTGGGATACCGTTCGTCCCACCATGCAACTAGCACATGTCTTATAGCATATTGGTGTATAGCAGGAAAAAAATCATATGTGGAATGAATAAACAAAATAAAGCATGCATTCTAAAATATTCATAATAAACACACTAAAATGCATTTTGTACTTATTGCATATATGCATGACTTGTAAAATTTTGCATATGCACATTTTGCATATATATATTTAATATTTTTAAATTTTATGAACAAAAGAAAATATTTCTTGAATATTATTTTAAGATTAAAATTGATACTTGTACATATGATACTAAATAAAGTATTAAAAATTGGCACTTGATTCAAAAAACATTATATATGATTAAATTGAAAAAAAAAAGTCATTTTTTCATGAAACTTTGAAAAACATGTTGTTTCATTCTTTTGTAGCATGGAGGCGTTTAACACATCCAAAATGTTCGTCGTTCTTCTTTCGATGTGCTGCAATATGCACATCTTCTCCTGCTCGTTCTCTTTGGCATGTGAATTACATTTTTTTAGTCTCTTTTCTGGTTGTACGAACGGGGTTTTAGTTTTTATTTGAACTGGGGATTTCAGTTTGCTTTTCAGCTCTTTCTTGCCTGCAAGTGCCATTACACTTTCTATAAATGAGAGAAGAAAACCTTTCATTGTTTTTACATCATGATAGGGCTCACGAACAAACTTAAATAGAATAAATGTGTTTATACTTGCATCTAAAAATTTTAAAAAACAAGATCATATGTGCCACCATTTCTTGCTTTTGTGCGTCTATTTCATATAGCAATTTCAGTTGATCAAATAAGTCGACATATCCATATTCTTATATATGAAATAATGCCGTTTGGGCACAGTGCTTTTTTTGTTTTTCCATCTCATTCTTTTCTATTAATTTCTTTCAATTTCAGTTGCCTTTTCCAAGCAAGGCAACTGAACAGGATAGAAACAGATCTTTTATCCTTCCATTTTATGCAATAAATTGAATCATCGCTAACTCTGAAAAGTCTATATATCTCCTCTCGACATAAATTTGTCTTCTTCTTTTAAGTTTTTGGGTAGATACTTCCGATTCATGTTTACAGTGTCACATGCATAGATGGGTTCTATGTCTTTAAAAAGTGAAACAAATTAATAACTACTTCTCTTTCTTCTTCAGCAATAACTTCAACATCAGTTATTCTCTCTTGGATTTCAATTTCATTGAATCAGAACTTGCATCTGAAGCATACGAGTCGCAATCAGATGGCAGTTCAGCAAAAAGATCCAAAGTTTCCTGAGTTGTTAATTTTTTCTAGACATTTTAGCACATCAGAGCATTAAACGGATGTAAAAATGTGCACAATCAAAAAAAGTAGATGGAAAAAAAAGAAAGAAAAAATAATCGTGAGTGCTGCCATCTATTGAGCGAAAATTCAAGTGTGTGGTGGGACAAATTTTAACCCACTTAATTCAACTGCAAAATTAATGTTTATAAAATATTGAATTCAATTAAGATTTTTTGAAATAAAATACCTTTGAATATTAAAAAGAATCATACATATCATAAATTGATACAAAAAATTTTTAAAATATTGAAAAATGCGAGATACATCGATATCACTCTTGTGATCCTATTTTGAATATTTTTTGCTTATAAACTTAAGCCCTGGTATAGTAGTAACATCTACTGAGAAAAATAATAACTAAAATACATTATTTTTAAAAGATTAGAAAATATCTAACGGAAACTGCTAACTGAGAAAATAAATATTAATTAGGTGGGACATATATTGACCCACCATGCCGCAAAGGGTTAAAAGATAAATACTTCCAATGTTACAGCTTACTGAAAACAGAAAAACTAAGGCAATATAATGTGGAAATTACGACAAACGATTTAAGTTTTTTATATGCTTTATCCATAACGTCTATCTTTTGATTATCTAACTAATAAAGAGCAATCAGTTTTTTTTTTTTTTCAAACTCTGACTGAATGATTATGCAAGTTTGCCAGAACTTCTACCAACTTACGAGGTAAAAATATATTTGTGGGTGCCCCTTGGGGATAATTATGAATAGATAATCATGATAGAAAATTCAAATGAATGGAAAAAGCAATTTATGGTCTAAAATTACAAAAAATCATTATTTGTCATTAACTTGCATATCAAAAACCTACGTTTAACATCATGTAACATTTTGACAGAAAAGCCAATGTATTTTTACTGGCCTTTTCATATGAATGTATAATATCGCATTAGTTATGAAATTCCATTGACCATAAGTGGTTAAAGCAGATTTAAGGGTGTCCCTTGGATTATCACTAAAGTTGTCGTTTCATTTATCGCTTAGGTGGAGTTTCATTTATTCCAATGGATAGCTTCCAATGTTACAGCACATATCTGTGAAAGGGACATTTAATTTTCATTAATGTTTGTACTTCCTACTCAACATTAACAATCAGAAAAATCAAACATAAAATAAGATCTATAATGATAATATGTCTATTGGTAACAGCATCAGCATAAATAAATTTCTAACAACAATGCATTACAGTGAAATGTATCTGAATGGGTTCATATTTTAATGATCATCCAAAAAAGAAAGTTTAATATGCTTTATCAATAGAAATTATTGCTAGAGATGGCCCATTTGAAATAGTGATACATTTTACAGGATACTGGATAAATATGCATTTAGACTAACATGGGTACATACGCATCTCCTGCACACTTAAAAAGTGAAAAGTATGCAATGTTTTTCGATAAAAATATTTAATGTTTCTAACTAGACATATCAGCAATTAAATGCATTTTTATTTAAATTGATCAGGAAAAAAACACTTTTAAAAACTACATCTATCACTTTTAAATATTTTAATTTGTTAATAACAGGCATATCAAATATGAAAGAATAATATATTATATTTTCTGAATTGCAATAGACTCAAATGACAAGTGAAGCAGTAGGAAATCTTATTTTGACTAAGAGCCCTTTGGAGGCTAACAACCCTTCTGGGCAAACAAGTTTCAGATGTACAAAGAATTTAAATCTGACACAATAAAGGAAAAAATTTAATCTAGAATTGCCTATATATATATTTTTTTTAATCTTGAAAGTAAAATTCTTATTTTTTTTTAATAAACATTAATGAAAATCAAACAAAAACAAGAAAACACAGCTAAGTTTTAATGGATAGGCATGAGACCAAGGTTTGATTTAAAAAAATGTAACAACAAAAAATGAAATTACCTTAAATTATAACCCAGTGCTTGAAATATATGTTTTAGGTCAGAGTCCTTGTGTTAAAGTCAACAGCACTATTTAGCATAGAATTCTAAAAAACTCAACAGCACTATTTAGCATAGAATTCCAACATACCTTCTGGCCAACAAAATTATCACTTGATCTAAATTCCAAGTAATATAAATACTAAATAATTAATTTGTATTAATTTTATTTAGAATCAAAATTAAATTCTTAGGACATATTAATCTTGTTAAGGGTCACTTTTTTAAAAAATGTGCTGTACTAATGATAAAACATATTAAATCTCTTTGATAGATCTCAGAACATGAAATCACAGTCTCAAGCAATTTAAACTGCAAAACGTTCATGTATTGGCCAATTATGGTATCAAATGAAATATAAATAAGTATGTCAGTTTAATGTTACATATTAAAGTCAAATCAACATAATTTCATTTAAAAATAGTTCCTAGTATATAAAAATATTATTTTTTCTATTTTCATAGTTCACAATCAAAAAGTTAAACATTATTAGGTATATTTATTCATTCATAGAACTCAGATGAATTTTTAATAGCTAGGTTCTGTATTTCTATCCTACTCGTAGAATTAAATAACTGAATATTTACTGTTGTCATATGTACCAAGGTCAAGGTCACTATCTTATGCAATATTTACGTTGAAGATAATGGGAAAACTAATTTAGTTATCTTTGAAGCAAAGTATGTCTTCTCAAACATTCTGCATAAAATTATTGAAAACCATATCATTGTCAATCTTAATATACAAGATGTGCAAAATTTTTCATTGAAGTGACGATTTAATGACACTACTGGTAAAAATAAATTAATTTAAAATGTAATGTTCTAATTAAATAAGTTGCATTCTAGCTAAAATTAAACACCTGATGCTTAGGAATGAAATTAAATCTTTTCCACAAGCTTCCGATAGGCTGAGACTTTTATACTTAGTTCAACAGTGTATTTACATAACAAAACAACGAAAAAAATTTTTATCACAATTATTATTCTGAAACTTTAGCTCTCCCGATGTTGCACTAGAAAACAAAATATTAAAAAATATATACATCGACTCAGTTAATGTACTTTAAGAAATAAACGCTTTGAGTTTCAAAGAACGCATCAGTTTTAGTTTTGTATTTAAAATGCTCTTTAATTTATTTAATTCAACAAAATAATCAAATATACCAGCAGGCGGGTGCCCTCCCTTCAATTCGTTATTTCCTTCAGTTGATGACATGTTACTAAAATAAAGTAAAACCTGGAAATACTTCGTATAATACTTCGCATGCCACGTAAACCTCACGTTTAGTAGATAACCATCTGTTTCATTTGTACACAGAAAATAAATAAAAATAATAATAATAATAAAAAGATACTCAGCGGTTACAGCTTATTTAAATTTACAATTTACATACTGAAATGTCAATATTTATAAATTCATTAACATCTGTTTCACGGGGGAATGGTGTATACACCTGGGTACCTGGGTCGAAGGCCCTACCCCTATTGAACAAAATTAAAAAATTACTAATTATGTGAGCATTAACACAAAGAAAATTTCTAAATTAAAAAAAAAAAAAAAAAAAAAATGGAGCTGTATGAAGATATAAGTAACAAGTTACATAATAAATTTTGTCACAAATAACATTAAGGTTAGTCGTTAAATTATAATAAAAAGGTAATAAAATTAAGGAAGATATTAACATTAAATTATTAATAACAAGTTAATATGAGATAAGAATTTAAAAGGGTGTAGTGAAACAGAGTCGGCTAATGAGGGATGCATTTGGTGAAAGCTTTTCGAGCCGGTGACAAATATCTTGAAAGGGAGACATACAGCAATTGTATGAATAAACAAAAAGTAGGTGTAACTCCTTCGGTGAAAAATTTAAAAGTAGAAAAGAATAAAAAGGCAGGTAAATAATGGATAAGTTTGAGCAATTTGAAATATTAAATTGACACTGGTCCTGTCTAACAAAATACAATAACAAGATACAAAATATGTGCATATATAAGAGGAGATATATACATAATACAATAAAGCATAGTTACAATATATAACACAAGCGCTGAATAATAATGCAGGTAACAGTAAGAAAACATCAATCAATATTTACCTTAAGTATGGCCATTGGGCGTTTGCAGTCAACAGAATCATTAATGTCGTAATTACGTATTTTAATAGCAGGGTTTTGAATATTTTTTTGGCTTTCGAAAAAATTACTTACTAATTTACAATATATAGTATTAAGCTGGTCCATTTTGAGCTCAAAATGGATATGATTATTACAAATGTACCAGGGTGAGTTTGAAATTTGACGTAATATACAATTTTGGGCTGTTTGGAGCCTCTTTCTATCCCATTTGCAAGAGTATACCCATACTGGGCAGGCATAACAAAGCATGGGATGCAATACGGATTTGTAAATGAGTAACTTGTTGTCAATAGACGGAACGCTGTTTCGAGAAATTAAGGGGAATAGTGTTGCTTTACGAGCTCGGAACTTCTGTAAGAGAGATGTTATGTGTGGGGTCCACGTGAGAGAATTACTGAGGATCACACCGAGATAAGGGACCTTCTTAGCCCAGGGTAAGGCTACTATAAAGGGGAGTTGAATCGTCATCCATTTTTCAACTAACTTGTTGCTATTCGCTACTGGACTAGCACTGTTTTGTCGACACACTTGTGGATCGATTCCAGTGCTTAAATTGCGCCGGAGTCCACTGGAGCCTGGCTCCGGTATTTCTCAGTTCAGATAAATTACAATTCTAACTGAGCGCACCGGAGCCCTAAATAAGATGAGCTCCGGTACTTCTTTTTATAATTTCAAGAAAACAAAATTTAGAATTCCTAACCTTTTAGCTTAACAATAAGCAGATCTTGCAATACTCTATTTCCCTAGAAATACGAGCTCATGAAAACATGAGACGTTTTAAGTAAAAGTCCCCTCACTCACATGCGGAAACCTTTCCCTTTAAGAAGGGCAATAAATTTGGGGGAGTTTGTTTAGGAACGCGTAAATTTCTCTCGCCATGCCATCGTATCTAGTGTATTGTTAGCGATGGTTACATTTAGTTATCCTCGCAGGAAGGAAAATTTGTGTTCTTAAATGTGCGTTAAGTGACAGCGAGTACAGTAAGAGTGAAATACTGAGATAAAATGCTCAGGCACGTCCTATACATCGTCTTCCCAGAGTATTCACTAATATAACCAAATACGGGGGAGGGGGCGAAAAGCGTAACCAGCAACTTTGCATTCATCCTTAGAAGTCAGATTCAGAACTCATTTTACCCCTGACACACATCCGCTTGATGGCTATAATTATAACAGCAAAGAGCCACGGTCAAAGAGAACGTTTTCTCTGACTAAGATTTCCTCCATTTTTTGTTTCCATCCATTCATACCTTCACACCCTCATTCAGTTTCCCCTCTTTTTAGCATTATCTTAATTTTCATCGGGTATATTTTAAGTATATAGTTTAAGTTTTGTGATGATAAAAGAACTCCCCCCCCCTACGAACAGAGCTTAAATTGCGCTGGCCCCGATGCTTCTCAGTTTTTGTAATAAATCCTAATTCTAGCCGGAGCGCACCAGAGCCCTAAATGAGAAGGTTGCGGCACTTCTTTTATGTAATTTAATAACAAATTCAGTAGAAATTTTATCTCGAAAATTTTATTTTTAGCAATAAAATTATATTAAATCGCTTATTAAATTTTAATTTATCTCTTACTTTAATTTAATTATTTAATATAATAATTATTGATTAAATAAGATTTTATAAACATAATTTAATAGTTATTAATTAATTTGATAATAATTAACTATTTAATTAAAAATTATTAATGAGTTTAATAATCATTTTATTTATTTATTTACTCTTGTTCCTCTTTGCTGACGGTCTTCCATAATGCTCCGGCACTTCTAATTTAGAAATTAAGCCCTGATCGATTCCGACCTAATTTTCAGAAATATGGGTGAGTGTACTGCACCAAATTGTTCGAATCAGTCCAAAAATAACTTTAGACTGTTTCGTTTTTCCAGAAATGAAGAAAGACGAAGAAAATGGATAGTTAATTCTCGTCGAGATCAATGGATTCCGGTCCCAGGAGCCTAACTTTGTGAGGTAAGTTCAGTTTCGTATTTTTCCATAGAATGTTAGAAAAATTACTCTTCGTATTTCTTCAAAATATGTATTTTCATTTAACTGTCACGTATTGCCGATAAACTGATTTTATAAGTACAAAATCAACTGCGGAATGTGTATGTATTTGTGCAGTAAAGAAATATCGCCAATACTGTTTGTGATGCTGTTTCTTTTATTCTTGTGAAAAGTTTCTAAGTTTCTAGAGAAAATATTACCCATGAAAGCTTCTAGAGCGAAATTATATACGTGTAAGTTCCAGTTTAAATTTTATAGACAGAGAAATATACAAACTTTACGCTCTGAGAAATGGAAGTGTAACATCAATAAGTATTTAAAACAAGGAAAACGTTAAGAAAAACCTTAAGAGGAAAATAAAAGAAAGAAAAAAGAAATGAGAGAAGAAGAAAAGAAAGTGACATCTTTTGATCGTAAATTTAAAAAAATCTACTAAACGGATCATTCAAGAAAAATTGATCTCGCAACCTGAAAAAAATCCAGCTTAAAAATAGACTCTGAAAAAACTAGAAAATTATCAGAAATCGAAAGACGCCTAAATCATCTTTTGAGAGAAATTTTAGAACGTATCAGTGAACACCGATCTAATAACGGACAAAATTTTTGAAAATATGCAAAGTGATAATGGGATTGTCTGGACAGTAGCGAGATCTTTGAGAACGTTAAAATTATTAAAGTATGTTAATAATAATAATAATAATAATAATATAAAAATCTGAAATTTTTCAGATTTTAAATTACGTCCAAAGGGGCGTTTTTTTAACGTTTTAACGTTTTTTTTTAACGTTTTTTAACTTTATTTATTAAATATCATGTTCTTTGCACTTAAACCATAAAATTCAGTTTCAAGAGCAATATGCCAAAATAATGTTAAATTAAGCATATCTTTAGAATTTCCGATATACACAGTCTCGCGAGCTGGAGATAAAAGTATTTTTTTTTTATATATCTAACGTTGCCATTTCTCGCTTTTAAAAGCATTGAGCTTGTAAATCAAAAATTCGTTAAAGTTTTACAAAATATAAAATCTATAATAAAACAAATTCCAAATTTGGGATTTCAGATGCCCATATTCGCAGTAGGATTTCGTCATTCAAAATTCGATGGCTCTATATGTACCAATTGTTTTATCACAATGCGAGAAATAGACAATCATTTATGCAGATTTTTCATTATTTAATTTCTTCAAATATAATGCAGGACTCTAACATTTTGTGGCAACAGTTTGAAAAGTGAACCGACGTTTATGAGTCCGACGCAAAATGCCAAAACGAAAGCAATAGTCCTTCGGGACTGAAATCCCTTTGGACTAATAATATATAGTTTAGATAATTTCTGGCAACAGTGAGTGTTGTCGTGATCAGGAGTAGTGCTGTAGAAGTAACGAGAAATTGTGTACCCGTATGTATTCGTTACTCGGTGAACCAGTACTCGTTACTATCGTATCGTTACTCGTTACTTTCGGTAAAATCGATCGGTATCCGTATCTTGAGCCTATTTTATCGGTCTACGGCCCTAAAAAGGGCTTTGAAACATCGCATTGCATTGAATCACGTGAGCTATTCTACCCCGCGGGAACTGGGTAGTGATGCGATAGGGAGTTTTGCGTCGCATTTTTGGTAGAAATAATTCACTTTATTTTGGCTATTATTTTTGGTTGCACTGGATTCATATTAATTTTTCTATTGCTGTCAGGGCTTAGTTTCTAAAGTCAGAAGGCCGTCAGGAAAACAGGAAAAAATAAAATAAAAAATAAGAAAGAAAGGAAATAAATATTACAATAATAACATTAATTAGTAATTAAAATAACAAAAATTACTTATTAAAAACTTTAACAATTAAAATAATAAAAAATAGTGATTAAAATAATGAATAATTAAAGTAACATAATAATTAGCAACTGAAATATAAAAATACTTATAAGTAACAATTTAATAAAAATGTAAAAAACAAATAAAAATTAAAATAATTTTTAAATTTATGATGACTAATTAATATAAGTAAAGTAAATACCAGACCTTGTCTTATTGGCTTAGTACCGTTTCGTCCTTTCTCATTTCATCTTCAGCTCGAAAAAAGTGTTCATTTCGTTCGCTGCCTTCCCCCACCAATTCCCTCTTTCCCGTTTCATCCGCTGTTTGAAAAATAGGTGTTTACTTTACGATAAGGCGAACGTCTGTTTAC